TTTGACAAGATTAAGGACTACTTATTGAACCCTCCACTATTAGTACCTCCAACACCTGGTCGACCTTTATTTCTTTACTTAACCATATGACCTACATCCGTGGGTGCAATGCTGGGGCAACTTGATGAAGCTGGCAAAAAGGAAAAAGTAGTTTATTATTTGAGCAAGAAGTTCACTAATTGTGAATCACACTATTCATTAATTGAAAAGACATGTTATAGTTTAGTATGGGTTACTCAACGGCTAAGGCAATACATGTTGTATTATACCACTTGGTTGATTTCACGAATGGATCCAATAAAATATATTTTTGAGAGTCCTCAAGTGTCAGGTCGAGTTTCTAAGTAGTAGGTAATACTCTCGGAATATGATGTGAAATACATGACTCACAAGTCAATTAAAGGAAGTATCATTGCATATTATTTGGCAGCAAATCCTATGGAGGAATACCAACCTATAAATTTTCAATTCCCAGGCGAGGATGTTCTTGTGGCAGAAGAGGAAGGACGAGGGGAGGAGAAATGGAAGATGTATTTTGATGGGGTAACAAATATTTATGGAAATGGATTAGGAGCAGTGTTGATATCCCCAGAGGGCAGACAATTCCTATTAGCTATCAAATTAGGCTTTGATTGCACCAACAATATGGCTGAGTATGAAGCATGTTTCAATGGCTTACAAGCTGCCGTGACATTAAGCATTAAGGAACTTGATGTTTTCAGAGATTCCACTCTTGTTATTTATCAAGCAACTGGCGAGTAGTAAACTAAGGATTCCAAGTTAATCCTATATCAAAAATATCTCACCCAGTTGATTAATAAATTTGACAAAGTGAGATTCCACCACTTATCTTGTGATAAGAATTAATTCGCAGATGCTTTAGCGACACTAGCTGTCATGGTTAAGTTGGATTATGGAATTGACATTCAACTAATTAAGATTAAGGCTAAAATTAATCCTGCATATTGCTTGAATGTTGAAAATGAAATGAAGGCACATCCATAGTTCCATGATATAAAAAATTATGTAAAAAGTAGAGAATACCCTTTGGAGGCAATGGAAAATGACAAGAAGACTATCCAACGTATGGCAATGAATTTCTTCCTTAGTAAGGATGTACTATATAAAAGAACTTTTGATGGTACATTGCTTCGGTGTGTTGACTTAAGGGATGCAAGAAAAATTTAAAGGAGGTTCATGAAGGAATATGTGGAACTCATGCTAATGGCCATACTATGGCCAAACAAGTTCAGAGACATGGTTATTTTTGGCTAACTATAGAAAGAGATTGCATTGAATATGTCAAAAAGTGTCATAAATGCTAAATTTATGCTGATCGAATACATGCCCCACCTCAACCGCTTCATAACCTTGTGGCCCCCTGGTCTTTCTCTTTATGGGGACTTGATGTTATTGGTCCAATCAATCCTAAGGCCTCAAATGGGCACCATTTCATCCTTGTAGCTATCGATTATTTCACAAAGTAGATAGAGGCTACTTCTTTTGCTAACATTACCCAGAAAGCTTTTCTTAGGTTTTTGAAAACAAACATTATCTATAGATACGGCCTACCAAAACGGATTATTACGGATAATGCGCCTAATTTGAATGGGACGGAAGTTCAGAAGCTCTGTGAACAATTCAAGATTAAATACCATAACTCAGTACCTTATCAACCTCAAATGAATGGGGCGGTTGAGGCAACTGATAAAAATATTAAGAAGATCATTAGAAAGATGACAATCACATATTAGGATTGGCATAAGATGCTTCCCTATGCTCTTTATGGGTATCGCACAACTATGCATGTGTCAATTGGGGCAACACCCTACTCGTTGGTATATGGCATGGAGGCTGTGATTCCAATTGAAGTAGAGATACCCTCATTAAGGGTATTCATAGAATTCATGTTAAAAGAAGATGAATGGATTAAAACTTGATTTGAACAATTGAACATGATAGAAGAGAAGTGATTAGCAGCTATATGTCATGGACAATTATACCAAAGGAGGATGGCAAAGACTTTTAATAATAAGCTGCGTCTAAGAGAATTTAAGCCAAGGGACCTAGTCTTTAAAAAAATCCTCCCGAATCACGAAGATTATCGAGCTAAATGGGCTCTTTCATATGAAGGCCCTTATATTGTGAAGCAAGCCTTTTCAGGAGGTGCCCTTATTTTGGTAGATATGGAGGGCCAAGAATTGTCAAAACCTATAAATTTAGATGCTGTGAAGAGCTATTTTGCTTGAAGCTAAAGTACCTGCTAAGTTGAAAACCAGAAAAGGCAACCTAGGTAAAAGTTAAGGTAAAAAAAAAGGAGAGAGATCAAACAAAGATGCCTGCTAGGTTGAAAACTGAAAAGGGCACCTAGGCAAAAGTTAAAGAAAAAACACAAAAAAAAAAAGAAGAGAGAGATCAAATAAAGATGCTTACCAGGTTGAAAACTTGAAAAGGGCACCTAGGCAAAAGGTAAGGCAAAAGAAGGGAGGTTTAAGCAAAGCTATGGTGAACTGAAATATTGTATTAATGGGTTAGAAAGATGGTGTTTTGTTGGAATGGGGTGGATACATGCTTCATGTAATCAATTCTTACCACATATATTCATAGTGATATAGAAGTTCGTTGCAAATGTTGTAAAGGATCCAATGAAGAAACTTCTTCCATCCTAATTTTTTTTAAATTCTTTTGAGACTCCTCCTGTTAAATTTCTCTCTTTCTTGTGACTCCAAGCAGTTTATTCAGTCGATAAACTAGCTTTTCATAAAGTATAATCTCTTATTTACATGATCCTTATTACATTCTTTCTTGTTTATAAAATTAGCCTTATTAGAGACACAATACTTTATATTATGCTTTTTACATGTGATACAAGACTCTCTCCCTTATTCCCATAAATTTCAATAATAAAGGTTCTATTCTTAGGGTGTTGGATGAAATTAGAGGCACGTACCTTATTCGAGTTGCACTAGATTCCGTTATCCACCAATCTTATGTGTTGCCACTAAATCTTGAGAATGAGTTGGCTAAATGAAGCGATTACATAAAGCAATGATATCTTCTACCTAGCGCAAGGGCATATGTTAGTATCATTTTATTATTGTAATTATTATTATTATTATCTACAAGAAATTTAATAAAAACAAAAAAAATGATGAAAGAAGGAAGTGAAAGAGAGAGGATACATAATAAAATTATCATTACAAATAGTGTATCAATTTATAACTCAAAGCCCTATAAAGATAGGTACTTACCAAAAGTCCTACATGGCTGGGCACTTTCTTACCGTTCAAAAGCTCTATAAAGACAAGCACTCACTAAAAGCCCTACATGGCTAGGCACTTCCTAGCCGTTCAAAGCCCTGTAAAGACAGGTACTCACCAAAAGCCCTACATGGCTAGGCACTTCCTTACTGTTCAAAGCCCTGTAAAGATAGGCACTCACCAAAAGCTTTACATGGCTAGGCACTTCCTTACCGCTCAAAGCCCTGTAAAGACAGGCACTCACCAAAAGCCTTACATGGCTAGGCACTTTCTTACCGCTCAAAGCCCTGTAAAACAGGCACCCACCAAAAGCCCTACATGGCTAGGTACTTCCTTACCGTTCAAAGCTCTGTAAAGAGAGGCACTCACTAAAAGCCCTACATAGCTAGGCACTTCCTTACCGTTAAAGCCCCGTAAAGATAGGCACCCACCAAAAGCCCTACATAGCTAGGCACTTCCTTACCGTTCAAAGCCCTGTAAAGACAGGCACCCACCAAAAGCCCTACATGACTATGCACTTCCTTACCGTTCAAAGCCCTGTAAAGACAGGCACCCACAAAAGCCCTACATGGCTAAGCACTTCCTTACCGTTCAAAGCCCTGTAAAGACAGGCACCCATCAAAAGCCCTACATGGCTAGGCACTTCCTTACTGTTCAAAGCCCTGTAAAGACAGGCACCCACCAAAAGCCCTACATGGCTAGGCACTTCCTTACTGTTCAAAGCCCTGTAAAAACAGGCACTCACCGAAAGCCCTACATGGCTAGGCACTTCCTTACCGTTCAAAGTCCTGTAAAGACAGGTACCTATCAAAAGCCATACATGGCTAAGCACTTCCTTACCGTTCAAAGCCCTGTAAAGACAGGCACTCACAAAAAGCCCTACATGGCTAGGTACTTCCTTACCATTCAATACCCTGTAGAGACAGGCACTCACTAAAAGCCCTACATGGCTAGGCACTTCCTTACTGTTTAAAGCCCTATAAAGACATGCACCCACCAAAAGCCCTATATAGATAGGCATTTCGTTACCGCTCAAAGCCCTATAGAGAAAGGTATTTTTGAGTAGATGACAAAGCATATGCTTCTTTCTTCATTCATATTTAGTCTGAGTCATGGTCATTTGTTTTACCGCATTTTTCTATGTTAATTGATCATTTTTATTGGCATCACATCACCTCATCACATAAAAAAAATTCAAATCATGTCATTGTGCAATAGTCTTGCATTTAATCATATCTTGTCGTGTCAAGGGCAGCAAGGTCTTTTCATAAGTATTGCATGGCTGACCAAAATATATCTTCTATCTTTACTTGTCACTTATATAAGAATTCAAGAACACACTTTTTCATATACTTACATTAGAAACAAGTACAAAGAGGCAACTATGAACACTGTATTTTGTCTGAGCATTTTCTTAATAATAATAAATAACCATAAAAATAATAATAATTAAAATAAAATAAAATGACCTAACAAAAAAAACAGAGAAGGTATTCTTGCTTAAATCAAATTTTTCTCCTATCTATTTTCTAGAATAAAAAAGAATAAGGAAGAAAAAAAAGATAAAAAAAATATATAATAATTATACAAAAATTTACATTTGGGCGGATGAAATGCTGAAAGGCCCAGCAGTTTCATCCGGCCCACTCACGCAGCCGAAGGGATGAAAGATCAGAATGCACACACACGCGGGCGGCCACAGCAAGACTTGAACTAGATGCGACAGAATAAGAAAGAAAGCAGGAGAAGCAATCAGTCAGACACGCAAAAAGAAAGAAGAAAGGAGCCACAGACAGAAGAAACAAGATTGGAGAGAGGCAGAGACTAGAGGGAAGTGGACACAAAGCAGAGCACACAATCAGGAAAAGAAGAAGCAGAGCACAAAAATACATAGACGAGTCACGCACGCGATCGAAGAGATCTAGAAGAAAAGTGTGAAGGCAAAAGAAGCAACACACGGAAGAGACACACACGCACACACACGGCGACGTAGCGGAAGAAAAGGGAAAAAGTCAAAAGAAAGAGATACACGTGATCAAAAGGAGCAGAATAGGGATGGCAGTCTGAGATGGAAGCGTGTAACGGTAAGTAATCGTATGCTCTCTATTTAAAGCCTGGAATTCGAAGAAAGGAGGGGGCAAGGAAGAGAAATCAAAATCAAAGAGGTGATTTTTGAAAAGAGAAGGAAGAAAGGGGAACTGGGTCGAATTTCTAAAAAAAAACAGAGAGGCCATTAAGAAGATTTCTAAAAGGGGGGCCTGGATGAATTTCTGAAAAGAGGAAATTAGGCAAGGAGAGACCGAACCACTATTTTTTCTTTGAAGAAAAGAGACTGAGAAGAAATGAGGGAGGCTATGGTTGAATCTGAAAATGATCTGAGTCTTTGAAAGCAGGAGGAGTTTGGAAATTCTCATCTGCTGTAATAGGTTTGAAATTTATGCATATGAATTATTCTGGTTTTGATCGAGTAGCTCAGGTTTCCTAATTGATTATCTTTTTTTTAACTGTGATGTGGTGTAGGGATTTGGAACTGGAATTAGAAAGATTCTTGTTTGTGTTCTCCTTATTCAGTTGATTGGTTGGAAGATCTAAGTTTGGCACCATATATGTATGTGTTGAACTAAGGAATATGGGATTAGCTCAATGTATGTATGAGACGGATGAATGATCTGGGTTCAGTTCAATATACTAGTATGTTGAATGAATAATCCTGCGTTAGCTCCATATGTGTATTTGCTAAATGAATGTTTGAAACTATCTTTGCATTGCATGGTTAGACGAGTACATGGGAGTGTGGTTATGGGTTTGAATGATATTTTTATTTTTATTTTTTTATGCTACTTAGTGATCAGACTATGTTTGTTTATTAATCATGAGAATTTGTTAATCAATTATGAAAAATTATTTTCATGGTGACCATTCTGGATGTGGTTGGATCATAATGTTTAATTTTTATCTTTTTAATTTATTAGCCATGTGAGATTTTTAAGAAATCCACATAGACATTTTAAAGTGGTAATTTACGTTGAAAATCAATAAGGTTTTACAGGTGGATAGATCCAACTTGTATATATAACGATATGAATTCCAATGATTCTCCATAATCATTAATTTTATTTATTTATTTATTTATTTATTTTTCTTCTCTGATTTAAATTGATAAAGTATTTAAGTTTATTTTTTGTGTGGAAATTTAAGGAATTTTCAAAGAGATTTAAAGTAATTATATTGTTATAATAAATCCTCATGGATAATGTGATTGTCGATTTATATATAAGTTTTTGTAAATAAAATAAAATAACAAACATTTCTTTTTAAATTAATTAAATTAATATATTCACGAAGTGACCTTCAAATCATTTAAATTATTTGGATGTTCACGAGTGACAATAAGTCTCCGTAGACATATTCAATTTTTTAAAAAATATTTTTTTTACGTTGACGAAGTGAATTTTCAAAAAAAAATATAAAAAAAGTATAACAGAGAAAATAGTTTTTAAACATAAATGACAATAGAAAAATTATCTTTACACAATAAATCATACCAACTCACAGCGTGTAAAAATTGTTTTATTTGCAATTGATAAGTCATTACTCTTTTTTATGAAAATTCTAAATAAAGAAAACCATTAACAATTTTCTTAACCCAAACTACGTGGACTTTAATCCCACTGCAGGGTATGTAGGCCTCAAAGTTAGATTCTGAGTCAAGTCTTCCCTAGTAAATAAATAAATATTTCCCACTCAATCCTTATTTTTTTTTTATATCAAACACATGAATATAAAAGGGATAATTAAAATAATTTTAAAACCATATTTACATAGCACAACAAACTTTAGGTAATCGTTCTTATGAACGGGTGTTGTGGGGTGTCTAACACCTTCCCCACACTCAATCGACTCCCGAAGCTATTCTTTGATTTCGCAAACCACCCTTATCCACCTTTAAACGGTTTTCCGAGATTTTCCTCAAAATCTTGGTGGTGACTCCTATTTCTTCGGTCTTCCTTTTGAAGGCCGGAACCTTCGCTCTCACACCATCCACGTCACATTTTTGGGTGTAACAAGCACCTATGAAGTTGCTCGTGAGAATTTATGCCCCTGGGAGCTTAGAGTGATTGGTACCGTAGTAACAAGGGTTAAAGGTAACCGGAGTAACCTTTTTATTTGTTTGTTTGTGAAATGGTTTGCAAGTATTTTAATAGTAATCCATAATAAAAGTCACATAGCATTCTCCAGAACAATCAATATTGTATTCAAGAAGATACTTAAGAATATTAAAAATGAATTATAATTTTTTTTGTCATATACCTTTAATTATTTGCTTAAACATTTTTTTATGGTTTATACTTCTTCATTAGAATTAGTTATGTTAATGTCACTCATACTTATCATTAAATTTCTTTTGTACTAATGCTGTCCAATTAATGAACACATACTAAGGGAGAAAAAAATACACAAACTTATTGAATGTTGTTAATTTCGAGTACATGGTACGTAATAATAATAATGCTCTAAAGTATAGCTTATTCCATAACAAAGTAACTTTGAGAAAAACCTGAAACTAATATAATCAGATATCTCACCCTATTAAGAACGGCTCGAGATCGGGAGGGTGTTTGTTTATTGACTATCTTTTCCTTTGCTTATCAGAACATCTTCTCCTTCTTTGTCAATGGTAAAGGAACTGATCAAAGAATGGCTCAGGATCGGGAGGGTGTTTGGCTATTGACTGTCTTTTCCTTCACTCATTGAAACGTCTTCTCTTTCTCCATCAATGGCAAAGGAACTAGTCAAATATTCAGTGGTTGGTTTCTTGTTTCACTGCATTTTATATGTGTTTGTCATGCATCATCGTGAATGGTTGCTCTCTGTGTTGATAAATAGGTGGACATGTTCACAGAGTCACCTTTCAAGGGAAGCCCCGTAGCAATGTGTCTACTAGAGGAAGAGAGGGACGACAATTGGTTGCAAGTGATAGCCACTGAGTTCAATATCTAGGAGACCTGTTACTTGACTCGAATTGCTGAGTCAGAGGGTCCTGCCCACTTGATCAATGCTAGCTCTAACCCTCATTTCTGTCTTAGATGGTTCACTCCCATCTGCAAGGTAAGATTTCTAAAATAATTTAATTACTGAATATATCACTGTAAAATAGCTCTTCTTAGATTGTATAAGCGGATTTGCTAGGGGAATGGTCTTTTGTAGTTAACGATTCCTCTACTGTATAGCAATAATCTGAGTTTATTCATGAGTCAATTTAGGAATGGCTTTGAAGACTGAATTCATTCATGATAATTGATGGCTTTCGATCCAACAAGTATTATTTTGCGTTCTTTAAACTATGTGATTCAGTTAGCATGTGTTAGTGGAAAACTAAAAGCTGACTTATAACTTGGCCAACAGCATGCTATTCAAGTTTGTTTTTGGATTTTATTTAAGTCAAAACTATTCAAAAATCAAGCATGATTTGTGGCATGTATAACACTCAAAAAGTGCTTGATGAGGAGTTCATCATTAACAAATTTGGTGCTCTTTCGTAGGTTGAACTTTGTGGCCATGCTGCATTAGCTGCTGCACACACTCTCTTTTCCCTAGTTTAGTAGCTTCCAATATTGTTGAATTCGTGACGTTATCTAGAGTATTGACTGTAAAAAGAATACTAGAGATTAGTATTACAAGTCCCTTTGACTTGGAAATGGTGAAAATCAAGACAAATACTATATTGAATTAAACTTTCCTATTGATCCTCCTACAGAATTTCATTCTATTGAGACTTCACAAATTTCGGCAGTATTAAAGGGTGCTTACACAGTTGAAATAAAAAGGACATCCATCGGAGATGACCTATTGGTCATTCCTAAATTTGTTCTCTTCCTTTTTTTGATGGTATCTTAAGCATAGTTCTATCATTTTCCCATATCACAATGCCTGCTTATGACAATGGCTTAATACTACCATAACTTTAAACTGTTGACTGTAAAAAATACATATCCCATGATACTCTAAGTCTAATTAGGAAACGAGTTTAATGTGTGTGAGTAGTTATTGTATATCAATCATATTTGGTTTTAAGCTTCTGATATCTGGCAAATATGACATAGAACTTAAGCCACAATTTGATGCTATAGTAAAATGTCATGGAAGAGGGTTGATTGTCACTTTTATTGCTCCTGCAGACTCAGGATTTGACTTCTACAGCAAATTCTTTTGCCCAAAATTTAGAATCAATGAGGTAAATAGCTAAGATATAACTATATGACTATATCTAATGGTTTATTTTAGGCTCAAATAATGATGCATTATTTCTTAAACCCCCCTCCCATTTTGATTTATTGCCTCATAAGTGCTGCTCTGCTATTTGTCACACATTTGGCACCTTTTTTGATTTTGGCTTGTGATTAGCATTAATCATGTTTGATTCAAATTTTGAATCAAACTATTCAATAATTTTCTACGTAATACTACAATGTCTAGTATAGTGTCTTGTGACCCATGTAATTACCTCACTTAATAAGGTAAAACTGATTTTCTATCAAATAGGAAGGGTTGTTTCACAAAATGTACTTCTAAGTAATGGCTCCATAGATCCTATATCTATCCATATGAAGGAGAAATCATGTAACAAGTGGGATTCTTATTTATATAAATGGTACTTTTAACTTGGAACAAGTATGAAGAAATTAATATACTTCTTTATATTGAGTTATTTTGCCACATCAATTGCTCAAGACCTTTAGTCTTTACCTAGCCTTAATGAAAAAAAATGTGATGGACCCAACATTTGGGGTTGTGTTTACACAAGGAAGCCTATCAAAAATAACTAGAAGAAGAGTGAGCAAGGGCATAGTGGGAAAGGCACAATAGAATAACGGTGCCTGATGTTGACAGAGTAGTAGGTGGTGTAAAAAGGGAAGCGAGTAATGACAAAGGGGGAGAGTGGTAATGTGTTAATGGAGGGGGCCTGGTCTCTGGTAATGTGTGAGGTCTCTTTTTTATTTGTTATTCTTGCGTGAGGATTGAGTAGAAGTATTGAGTGAGTGCTAATTAGTGGGTGTATTCTCTACATTTTCCCTTTGTAATAGAGGATACCCAGTGAATTTATCTCTTTGTGCACCTGATTATCATCTTTTTATCTACCATTATTGTTAGTCCTATCACTTTGGTATCAATGCAAGCTACTATGGGGCATGGTTGGTACTAGAATGGAGGGAAGAGTTGAGCATTTGGAACGAGTAGCGGAAGAAACGTAGAGGAAATGATGGGAAACCATATAAAAACTTACCAGTATTGATGCTACTACGATGCTCATCTTATGTCAGTTGGAAGAGTTGAAGGAGGCGTATGAAGCTGCTAACCTACCACCTCCTCCTCCTTTTTCGCTGCTGCTGGAGGATAAATCAAGAAATGAAACCAGAGATACAGAAAGGGTTAATACAGAGGATTGTGAAGGTATAGGGTAGTATGAAGGCTTCAAGCACCGTTGACTCAAGCTCCCTATTTTTGATAGTGAAGTTTGAGTTGCTCTCTGCCCCTTTATCATTAGTACCTGATGAGATGCTAATGAGGGCTTTTCTTAATGGCTTGAACGAAGAAATCTGGGCTGAGATGGTGAAGTAGAAGATAAAAATAAAATTAGGAAGAGAGTACTAGAGGAGAAGAGGAATGAGATGGTGAAGTCAGTGTTAGGAAATCAGTGAAGTGACACCAAGGCACTGACACCCAAATTCAGTACTGTCAAGGCTTTTTGGAATAAGGGGCCATCAACCAAGATGAAACTACAAGAGGTAAAGACTGGTGAAGAGTCAAAGATGAAGTTACAGCCAAGGATGATGGGCGTTAACACTTAGTTGATTTCTAGTAGCAACAGCGTGGCCCCATGAAAAAGGCTTTTAGAAGCAGAGATCAATAGGAGACACGAGTTGGGCCTATGTTTCAAATGTGAGGAGAAGTTTGGCCTAAACTATAAGTGCAAAAACAACCAACTCAAGCTTATTACACTGGATGAGGAGGACGGGTGCCTAAGTGAAATGGTAGCAAAAACTGAAAATAAAGAGCCCAACGAAGAAGGAGAACTCACATCCTTCAACCTGTTAATGACCATTACTGTAGGAATCACGGGCAAAAGGACGCTAAAGATGGCAAGAAAAACTCATGGGTGTGACGTCTCAGTACTTATTAATTGTGGCGTCACACATAACTTCGTGGATGCCGTGCTAGTGGACGAACTTTAGATTCCCACTTAAGTTGTCAAGAAGTAAGCAGTTCCTGTTGGGCATGGTAGGAAGGTTGTCTCAAACCTCAAATGTCTTGTGGTGGAATTAGAGATTTAGGGCATGTAGATTAAACAACCCTTCTATCCTTTTAATTTAGGCATTGTGAATTTGGTGTTAGGAGTTGAATGGTTAGTCACTTAAAGAAACACGTTTGAATTGGAGACATCTTTATATGAAGGTCAAGACAAGACACCACTAGGTTTGCCTCAAGGGAGACCCTGCCTTGACCTAGTCCCAAGTTTTGCTCAGATCAATCAGGAAGGTCATTAGAGAGAGAGGGGTGGGGTACATCATTGAGTTGGCATTATTGCACCAACACGAAGTTAAGGCTCAACTTAATACCCAAGGGGAAGAATATGAGATAATTAGAGAATTTCCTATAGTTTGCAATCCTGTCCAAGGATTACCCCCAAGGCGTACCCAAGATCATGCCATTACAATAAAAGATGGTTTGTAACCTGCTAACACATGACCCTATATATATGGTCATGCTTAAAAGGCTGAAATTGATAAATTAATAAAAGAAATGTTGACGGCAAGAATGAGTCAACCCAATACGAGTCCCTATTCTAGTCCAGTATTATTGGTAAAGGAAAAAGATAGGAGTTGGAGATTCTGTGTAGACTACAGGGCCTTAAACAATATCACTGTATCTGACAAATATCCTATTCCAGCTATAGATGAGGTACTAGATGAGCTAGGAGGAGCTACCATTTTCACCAAGTTAGATCTTAAATTAGGATAACATCAAATTCGCATCAGGGAGGTAGACGAACCTAAGACAGCCTTTCACACCTATGATGGTCATTATGAATTTAAGGTTATGCCACTTGGTTTAACAAGTGCCCCATCTATCTTTCAATCTCTCATGAATGATATTTTTAGAGATGATTTGCATAAGTTTATACTTGTTTTCTTTGATGACATACTTGTATATAGCAAGGATAGGCAGACTCATTAGGAACACCTAAGGAAGATGTTGGAGCTGCTGGAGCAACATCAGCTGGTTGTAAATCCCAAAAAGTATATGTTTGAACAGTCTCAAATTAAGTATTTAGGTCACATCATCTTTGTTGAAGAGGTAAAAGTAGACCCCTTAAAATCACTACAATGTTACAGTGGCCAGAACCCAAGAACCTGAGGTTGTTGAGGGGATTTCTTGGCCTCACAAGGTATTACCGCAAGCTCCATTGATTCAATTACTTAAAAAGGACTTGTTCAAATGGGACAAAATAGCCCATAAATCATTTGAAAATCTCAAGGCTGCCATGACCACTCTACCAATATTAGCAATGCCGAACTTTAGCAATGCTCGATAGCTTATTTCAGTCAGAAGCTATTTGAAAAATGCTAACAAAATTCTGTTTATGAGTGGGAACTGATGGCAATCATACTAGCGATCAAGAAATGGCAACATTACCTATCCGGTCAGCCATTTATCATAAGAACATATCAGAAAGCTCTTAAGTACCTCCTCGAACAGTGAATAATCATGCTGATAAAAAAAAATGGGTGACTAAACTCATGGGATATAAATTTTAAATTCAATACAAGCCTGGTAGAGAAAATTGTGTGGCCGACACATTGTCCAAATGATGATATTGACATGGAATTGAGAGCAATGTCCATGTAGCCGTATGAGGGAGTTGATGAGTTGGTTGCTAAAATCTCAAAAGATGCACACCTCTATAAGATTGTGTAGCAACTTATAGAAGGGAAGGAAGCACCAAAAGGGTATACTGTGAGCAAGGGGTACTTTGTTTTGAAGGAAGACTTGTACTACCCAAAGACTCCTAGAAAATTCTAGAATTAATTAAGGAGTTCCACGATTCACCAATGGGAGGCAATTCAGGGTATTTAAGACCTTACAATTGTCTTGCTGCAGTGGTATTTTAGGATGGGATGAGGAAGGATATTCAAGAGTATATGGCAAAATGTGAAGTTTGCCGACACAACAAGTATGAGGCTTTAAGTCCAACTGGGCTTTTATAACCTTTGCCTATCCCTTAAGCGTCATGGGAAGATATTAGTATGGATTTTGTTGGGGGCTGCCAAAAAGTACCTGATTTGACACAATCCTAGTGGTGGTAGATCATTTGACAAAGTATGGTCATTTCCTTCCTTTATCACATCCCTATAATGCTAGAGAAGTAGCTGACTTATTAGTTTGGGAGGTCATCAAACTAGATGGATTTCCAAACTCTATTGTGTCTAACAGAGATCGTGTTTTTATGAGTCAATTTTAGAAAGAACTCTTTAGTTTGGTTGGAAGTACTCTCAAGTTTAGTTCCTCTTATCACCTTAAAACCAAAGGTCAAACCGAGGTGATAAATTGAACCTTAGAGACTTATTTGAGGTGCTTTGTTGGAAATACCCTTAAAAAGTGGGTTAAAATGTTACCTTGGGTCGAGTATTGGTATAATACTACCTATTACATTGCTATCAGGATAACTCCTTTCAAGGCATTGTATGGGAGGGACCCTCCAACACTTTTAAAATGGAAGGATCAGCCCTCATGTGTTCAGGCAGTAGATGAATTAATTTTGGAAAGAAATCTGATCTTGGATGAGCTCAAGAGGCAACTTGAAAAAGCTCAAGTGAGGATGAAAAATCAAGTGGACAAGCATTGAAGAGAAGTCCAATTTGAACTAGGGGAACTTGTTTACCTCAAACTAAAATCGTATAGGTTCAAATCCTTAGCTAAAAAGCCAAATGAGAAGTTGTCCCCAGGTTTTACAGACCTTATAATATTTTGGAGAGGATTGGGAAGGTGGCATATAAGCTGGAGTTACCTATAACAGCACAAATACACAATGTATTCCACATCTCTCAGCTGAAAGGGGTCTTAAAAACCTTTGTTATTATATAGCCTCTCCCTAAGGGTCTCACGGAAGAGTTGGAAGAAATCAAGGATAGGAGGAAGACTAATAATGGGAAGCTTTAGTTTTTAATCAAATGGAAAGATTTACCTGAACATGAGAACACTTGGGAAGATGTAGAAATGGTTAAGGAACAATTTCCTAAATTTCACCTTGAGGACGAGGTGTTGCTTTCAGAAGGGGAAATGATGAGCCCAACATTTAGGGCCATGTTCACACAAGGAAGCCTAGCAAAAATAACCAGAAGAAGAGTAAGCAAGGGCATAGTGGGAAAGGCACAACAGAATAATGATGGCTGACCTTGTCAAAGTAGTGGGTGGTGTAAAAGGAGAAGCGGGTAAAGACAGAGAGGGGGAGAGTGGTAATGTATTAGTGGAGAGGGCCTGGTCTCTAGAAAACCAAGTTATGTGTGAGGTCTCTTTCTTGTTTTTTGTTCTTGCCTGAGGATTGAGTAGGAGTATTGAGTAAGTGTTGATTAATAGGTGTATGCTCTACATTTTCCTACTGTAATAGAGGATACCTAGTGAATTATCTTTATTCACCTGATTATCATCTTTTTATTTGCGCCATTGTTGTTTGTCCTAGCAAAATGAAATCACTTCTTACTTGCTTGTTGAGAATGGTTAATCTACCAGAAAAGGAAAATACTATTGAGATAATGGTGGGTCACTTCGATTTCTTTTCAAAATCCTGTTTGTAGGAGTGTACATTGTGCTTTAGCATCTTATTGGAGCAAGAAACTTGGGAAGCTCGATTTTAATACTAATTAGGTACTGTCTATTTGTTATTTTGGAGTTATCTTTGTGATTGTTGTGTTGACTCTTTATATTATATGAGCAGGCATCATCAAGAGGCGAAGTTCTCAATATTTATCTTGATGAGCAGAACCAAAGGGTGCTATTATGAGGAAAAGCTATTACGGGATAGAAGGATGCATTATAGTTTAGTCCTGCTTTGGCATTGCAAATATAAGTAACATGAATAAATGTAGTGGATAACATGACCCACTGCAACTGAGTTTAAATTCTTAAACTATTATAATGATATTGAATGTTGAGAAGTATGATGGACCTTGTTACACAGAATGTTTCAAATAGGAAAGGAGAACCAGTACCAGAACCAAGAAGGCTGATGGTCCAAGTGAATTTAGGAGAAGTCCTCGTAGTTTAAGAGATGGCCTTGGTAATCTTGGGGATAATAGCCTATCTCACAACTCCCGATAATAGAGTGGATCAAGATCAAACCATTCTGGTGCATGTCCTTATCGTCCTCATAGTGCTCCAGTTACTCATAGTAAAATTCGACTCCCCCCTTCCACACACCAGCCCACGCCCCAACTCTGTCATGGCTACTTTTATGTTCTATTATTCATAAATTAACCAGCATGAATTACTACTCGTCCTCTCTACACCTTAAGATCTTATTCCAAGTACTATCGTGTTTCAAATGGGAGTATAGATCGCTTGAAGTTACAGAATTTATTTATTTCTTGGAGCTTGTCTTTTTAAGGGAAAACAAATATAAGTTTTTTATGTTTTGCGAAGAAAATTTTAAAAAACTGTTCTCTTTAGCTCTATTTATAAGAAGCTTTTAATTTGTTTCTATTTTCACAATAATTATAGAAAGCTTTAAATCTTTTTGACTTTATTTTAAATTTTAATACATTTTCACTTTTACTTTTCATAAAAACAAAAAAGTATTTTTAATCATTGTTTTATCAAATAATGATAGAAAGAAAAAGATGAATATAAAAAATAATAGTGTTTTATAATTATGATTAAAATTAAATTTTTATTTTATAAATAGAATTAGGGTATATATTTAGACTTTTGTCCGAGCGATGAGCTAGATTTGTCCTATAGTTTTTTGTTTTTTCTAATAGGGTCCATGTGGTAGAGCAACATCACTTTGTGCACTTGCATTGTTTCTTTTTGGTCAAAAGCAATGTGCCATAGACTCTGGCTACACACAGTTTTTTCAGCCAGCAATGTGTCAAGTCTCATATCGGAGAGATTTGGGAAGAGTCTTGGCTATATAAGCAGGTGTGCTGTTTATCTCAATGAGCTAGCTTTTTGGGGAGAGAGTGATGGCCCCGTGACAAAGTGGTATCAGAGTTAGACCCAAGTTTGCCTCGTTAGTAGGCCCCTCTAGTGGGCCAACTATGACGAGGGCGTCACAGATTGGTCGAGGGAGCTGTGAAGTCCCACATCAAAGGAACTTGGGGAGGGTCCTAACTATATAAGCGGGTGCACTGTATACCTTAATGACCTAGCTTTTTAGGGAGAGAGTAATGGCCCCATGATAAGTGGTTGCACATAATCAGTGGGCTGTCCAAGATGAACTGCCAGTATAATTCAAAGGCTTTTACAGTTATGACCGATTAGTTATATTTGTTATTGATATAAATACTTTGTAAGTTTGTAAATTTTTAATGATAAACTCATTATATATTAGTAATAAATTACTTGTATATTAATTACAAACATTTTATATTTCAATATGAATTGGCTGTTTTTCCAATTTTTCAAAAAGTTGATCTATTTTTTTGAGTTTAAGATTCTTTTAAGCCAATGGGCCAATTTATCTTATAATCTAGCTGTCCTTTTCAAAATCAGAGATTGGGCTTAAACGTCCACCCCAAAAAAAAAAAAAAGATTCAATGTTTGGAATCAGATATTCCTACTTGCGTACACAACTTACAGAAGTAGAACCTTAATTTATATATATATATATATATGTATGTATGTATAGTACCTTCGTTTACAAATATAAAGCATTTTTAACTGAATCTAAACCTCAACAAAGTAATTATTTATTTTTAAATTAATCATATCTTTTTATATTTATCCCTATTTAATAAAATATTTTACCCTAAAATAAATATAAAGTAATTTATTTGATAGAGGCGTTTTTTAAAAAAATGCAATGATTACATCTTAAAAGATTAAATTTTTTTTATATTTGTTAACATTTAACCCCTCAAAAAATATTTTATATTTTTTAATAGAGGGTGTATATATTTCTTCTTTTCGGTACGAGTTTTTTTTTTAATAATAATAAACCCTTTCTTAATATTAGTCATTCTCGATGTCTCATTCTCTAAGCGTCTATCAAGAGAAATCTAGACAGTCCAACTTCATCTGCTAATCAATAATGTTTTGTGCAAGTACTCTAACTTGGTCTCGCTAAATCAATCAATTATTAGTTTAAAATGTATCAACAATGCAATCCATTGACTATCACAAGATGAATCTTATTTAAATATACACAAGAAGTGGATATGATATGTACAAATCTTCGTTCGTGGAGCGAGCGCCAATGGCTGGCTAGCTTAATTCTAGATGAAAGGCACTGTCTTCTCTCCCTTCTTGCAATCTTTGGTGATGCCGCTCCTGCAACCTCACAACAACTAACACTATGTATAGATTTATGCTACTTATCACGAAATATTGCCAGATATGTGTGATCTGCCAATTAACAAAAACCAAAACTTTATTATCAAGTTGATTTTTGCCACATATATATGCATAACTTCAACATTTGTCCTGATGCTTTAAAACTTCACTTGGCCCTTCTAAACTAGAACCTTCCAATTCTAATTTTAATTTTCTCTTGCCTTTTCTTCTACTGTATAGAAAATGTTGCATTCACAGAACAAGTTAACTAAAAAATATTACTAAATTTGAAGGAGCATTTATTTCTACAAAGAAAATATATTGTTTGAAGAATCAAATAGTGGCGCGGCCCACTTTCTAGATGTTACGGGCCAGATGAGTTGAGGCTGCTTTGTCTGACTATAACATAACATTTAGTATGGTGATAAAAATTTCGATACCTCAGCATTTTGATTGTCGATGGGCATTGTGCGTAACCTATGGTTTGACTAGAATGCGCGTGTCTTCTGTGCACCGCATCACTTTGTTATGATATTCAAAAGAGGCAATTAACTATGCGGAATAAATATTATCATTGCTGTTATTATTTTTATTTTTATATATTATATATAGAGGATCCACTCCATGATCTCATTTCTCGGATGAATTGGACAATTAGCTTGCTTCTTATACTCTAGTTCCTGGTTGTTCCTCTCCACGTGGCTTCCAGCTCCCAATACTTCCTTCTCCTGCTCTTCATTGCGCCATCTTTTGCTCAATCCTCTTTCAGATCCAAAGCCCTTATAATTCCTGTCCCTAAAGATACCACCACTCTCCAACACGTTCCTTGAATTCACCAAAGAACCCCACTTGTCCCCGTCAACCTCGTCGTTGATCTTGGTGGCCATTTCCTCTTGGTCGACTGTGACCAACGTTACAGCTCCTCCACCTACTGAACTGCACACTGCAACTCCACCCAATGCTCCCTCGCCGATGCCTCCAGATGCAGTGAGTGCTTTTCGCACCCCAGGCCAGGTTGCAACAACACCACCTACGGCGTGATACCAGACAACACTGTCGCCCAAGACGTCATGTCGGTCTAGTCCGCCAGAGGCTTCAACCCGGGTCAAAACGTCACCATTTCCCTTTTCATATTCTCATGTGCGGCCACTTTCTTATTGAATGGCCTCGCAAGTGGAGTACCGGGCATGGCCGATCTCGGTAGAACCAGAATTGCTTTTCCTTCTGAATACGCTTCCGCTTTTAACTTTCATAGGAAATTCACCGTTTGCATCGCCTCTAGTTCAAAAGGTGTTGTTTTCTTCGGAGACAGCCCTTATGTTTTTCTTTCAAACGTTAACGCCGCTCAGTTGCTCACTTACACGCCACTCATTATGAACCCCATAAGCACGGCTTTCGCTTTCACACAAGGACAGCCCTTGTCTAAGTATTTCATTGAAGTCAAATCCATCAAGGTTGACCATAAAGTTGTCCGTAGTATCAACAAAACTCTGCTATCCATAAAGAAGGAAGACTCTGGTGGGACCAAAATAAGTACAGTGAACCCATACACGGTTTGGGAGGCCTCGATCTTCAAGGCGATGACGGAGGCATTTATCAGTGCTTCGGCTGCTAGGAACATCACCAAGGTGGGTGGCGTGGCTCCCTTCGAAGTGTTTTTCAGTAAGGACAATGTGGGGAACACACGGTTGGCTACCTTTACATATCTTTAATAATGGTAAATCATAATATCAATATAAAAATTTACATACAAGAAAAGAATTTGAAACTGATACAACAATTTTAATTTTCTAACTAACCTAGTTTAATTTCTAACAAGCCTAACAAATAAAACTATTATTATTTTTTTAACATTGAAATCTAACTTCCTATCACAAACAGCTAATAATATATTCTGACCACTCTTCAACTAAATCTTCTATTTGCTCCATAGTAAAATGTGAATATCTTGCTCCAACAAAATATTACACAAGATATGAAAGCAATATATAAGTAATTAACATTATATTAACTTAATTTCAAAGCTTTTGAATTACATTTAAAATACTTCAGTGATAAAGTTATATATATGATACAAGTATTGGCTGTCAAAAATCTGACAGAGTCTCCCCTATAACTTAAAAGTTTCAGAATTTTTCAAAAATTCTACATCAATTCAGAACAACATATTCAGAATAACAAACAAAAAATATCAATTAAACAATTATTTAGATATGTACCAACTTGTTTTATTAAGAAAATAATACAAACCTTTATTCTTTTTCATGAATAAAACTCAAAAGGATCAGGTCTTTCAGTGTTTGGAGGGAGACCTTCACCTCCTTAATAACATGCTACAACCTTATTATATAATGATTAAGCATACCAAGTAAAAATTAATTATTATAATAAATATATATAAAGAATATAAAACTAAAAACTTACTGATTAAATAATATCCTCATAGATTTGTTGTTCTTAAAGTCACTATCTCTTAATGAATCAAGATAATAAATCATAGGGACGAATAGATTGATATAAACACCCAATGTTGCCTGAAAAAATAAAATATTTTATTAACTAAAATATCAACTAAAGTTAAAATAAACAATAAAACAATTTACCTTAGACTGTGAGGAGCTAAAAATAACATGTTTCTTTTGCCTTTGGCTTTGAATGCATCAGTAAT